CTACCCAGTTTCATTCTGACTTGCCAAGATGGCAGCCTGGAGTTCCGCATCATCATCCAGATCATCCAGCAGGGAGCTTCTGTGCTCTTGATTTACCCAGTGGGAAGGCGTGACGGGTGCGAAAGCCGAGGCGGCAGAAACTACAGGTGTCTCATCTAGATCTTGCTTGGCCTCCATGTTTTCCAAGGAAAACTCCCAGGTATCCAGCTGTGCCACAGCCACGAAGGCTAGCGACTGGCAGAATTTAGGGATCGAAGCCTCCACATCGTACAGGCGCCAATTCGGCTTCTGGCCGTGGCCCTGGCAGGGCTCCCCGTTTCATGACCTTTTTCTCGAAACATGTTGCAACATTTGGAAATGTATGGAAATGTTATCACACCATCGTTATCCACCCTTTACTATCTCAACATTCGCAGCCACCAAGCAAGTGGTCAAGAATGACGCCTGCCTTGCCCCTGGATTTGGCCTTCGATTCCGCCTGCTTTTGCCGCTGGTTCCTCTCCTCATCACTGCAGCCGTCCTGCATGCCACCTTGCGTGCGCAGAACCGTATGGTTCCCAGCCGCCACAAAGCGCAAGGATAGGGAAGCGGAAGGATTCTGGTTCACCGCCAATCCCAAGGCCATGGAAGCTGCTTCTACAACCACCATCTCACCAACTCCAAAGTCATAGGCCATCCTTTGAAAAGGCGTCTGTGTTTTAGGCGCTGGTGACATCAGCAAACGATGCATGGCCCGCCACGCCAGCTTGGGGCTGGCCGGCTCTTGTAGGACCTCAACAGGTGCTGCTGCATAGATGCGACGCACAAAGGGGCCCCGGCTGGCGCGGAAACTCACTGGGACAGCCACATATTCCCTGCCCTCCTCCATCACCGCACTACAACTCACATCCCTTCGCGCGCCGCCTAGGACAGAAGCCACAACCTCACCAGCATCATCCAGGATCAGCAGGGAGAGGTCGTTGAGGTAGTATCCTTGCAGGGCTTGGGCTACCAAAAGGGTCCAAACTTCATGATGCATGATAATGCCGCCAAAAGCCCAGAATTGCTCCCAATGGATCCCACATGACTCACATGACGTTCCAACAAGCTTGACAATGTGACTCTTAGGTCCCTCAAAAACTGGATATGACATTACACAATCTGACCACTTTGAACCCGCGTCCTTTGGGCCTTTTGACCTGCTTCCCCCGCTCCGTGGGTTGGATGCCCATGACCCAACATTCCACAGCACCCCCAACACTTCGAAGCTTCAGAGCATTGCGAACCCCAAGGCCTTCTCCATGACCATCAAACTCCAGATCGAAGCTTTGGCTGTGCCACCCCGCCCGGGCGTAGCAAATATCCGCGCAGGCGAAGCCTCGAATGAAATCGGAATAGTTCATCCAGAAGCAGCCGTCACCTGGCGTGATCGCCACACCCAGCTGCGCAAGCAGTTCATCCTGTTAACATGGCAGCGTTCATGGGTTAAACAAGAATGAGTGTGCTTGGTGACCTCTGGGTATGAGAGTGTAACACGATTTCTCATCGCTAGCTTTTGAGTCTACCTTTGAGTGCCTTGGGAGTGCCTTTGGTGTCAAAATTAGTCCGGGCGGAGTCAAAACTAGTGGTTCAATTGCTGTTAGGTTCCACCCTGCTAGCGTTTGAGTCTATGTGTCAAGATGTGTCAAGATGTGTCAAGACTAGTCCGGGCGGAGTCAAAACTAGTGGTTCGATTGCTGTTTGGTTCCCCCTCGCTGGCTTTTGAGTCTAGCTTTGAGTGCATTTGGAGTGCCTTTGGCGTCCAAACTAGTCCGGGCAGAGTCAAAACCAATGGCTCCATTGCTGAGCGGTTCTCCCTCGCTAGTTTTTGAGTCTACCTTTGAGATCCTTTGAGTGCCTTGGGAGTGCCTTTGGTGTCTGAACAGTCCGGGCGGAGTCAATACTAGTCGCAGAGTACTGCAATCAATTGCAGCGGGTTGACCCGCAGTTTCATTGTGAATGCTGCCCCAAAACACGCAATCTGCAAACCCTTAATTAATCCGTAATCTGGCTAAGGATTAAGGATTAAATCTCGAAGCTTATAGGTATACCCATAACCCATTGCGTACATCTCTCCCTCTCTTTGAAAATCATACACCGTAAATCAAATACAGCAACTATTCACGTAGACAGTCATAGACATATTTATGTACAGTATGTATTTACGTTCAAGTGTACATACTTGCAAAGGGATTGATGTTTTTCCCCCTGCAATAGGCAACGATTTTTTCGAATGCAACGAACATACCAGCCAAGGTCATGCAACATGTCCATTTCTGGTCCCTGGTTTGTTCTCATGTTTGTTCCAACAAGGCTCTTGCAGGCTGCCATGGCAGCATTGTGGGTGATCACATCCGCACCAGGACCAGCATCCTGCCTGCCGTCCAGGATACGGCCAAAAATCAGCTTCACGCAATGATGCCGCACAAAAATATCCTGACTTTTTTGGGATTCATGGCTTACGGCTCTGATACCCCAATCAAATTGCGCATTCTGGCAAGAGACACAACATAGCATTAAACCATATTAAAATATATTAAACCACTCAAACAATTTTTTCCCGGAACTGTCCTCCAACCTTTGTTTCAAGAGATACTGCTACTATGGCCACCACAACTTGTCCAAGCTGCAGCAGTTGCAGCGCATTTCTCCACCAACTGCTTTGCTCGCAGGCACGGATGGCCGCATTGTAGCCTTAGTGGTGAGATATGTCAAAGCCGCGAGGTCAAATGCAGAGAAACCGCAGCTCCAGCTACCTCTGAGCAAAAAAAGCTAAAAGAAAGTCAGTTGAATATCAACAGGAATTTTGTTCAACAAACCTGCAGCTGCTCTAGGGATCTCTCCCAAACTTCCCACAGTTTTCCTCACCCAGAAGCTAATGACGTCCGGACTCAGCGCCGCTGTCGGCATAGAGGACCTCAGTATTTCGTGGGTTACAGTTTGAATTTTGAACAACAAATCCGATCTTTTGATGAAGATGCAGTGCAGCAAACCCAATCCCATATATATATTATATTATATTATATTATATTTACATTTATATTTATATTTATATTATATTATATTATATATATATATATCCCATATACCACAGCCTGTTGATGGCTTACGATTGGATTTGCCACATTGTGATGGAGATCGACCCAGCTGGATCTAGAATGCACGGGGATGCAATCAACAACGCGAAGAATGGTGAATGGAGATGCAACCAGCAACACTAGAAAGACTAACCCCATCCCCCCTGCCATAGGCCATAGGACCCCAAAAAGATCCAAAAGAAGAAATATGAAGAAATCTACTGTATACACTAAACCAGGGTTCTTGGGGCCTGTTTAGTCGGGAGAAGGGATTGACAAGAATGGGTCAATGACGACGGTAAGGAATGTTTAGCGGTTTAGGGGGGTGCTCTCTCTTTCTCTGATGGGATGGAACCGCTTGCCCCGACCCGACCCATACCCCAGAAGAAAACCATTTGGCTTGAGATGAGTGCTTCTGTGCTCTGATGACCATGTCTGTCTGATACGCTTGCCATCCGCTCAACTAATCTGGAAAAAGCTATGTATACATATTTATCTGTATGTATATATATATATATATCGTTCTCTCTCTCTCTCTCTCTCCATCGCCATCTTTATATGCATCTTTATTCATCATTATATACCAACATGTTTCAAACATCTCTAATTATTTTTGCGCACGTGTTGGAAGGTAAAACTATATGCAAAACTCAATATACAAAAGTTGGAAACCTGGAAATCTTGCGGAATAATCATCTTTTTCACATCGAAACCTGGAAAAGTTGGAAACCTGGAGATTTTCGTAGGCTTGGAGAAGTTGGAAACCTGGAGTCTATCTGTGGAAGCTATGGAAATGGAAGGTATCTCCCCTTTTTCAGCGGGAGAGCACCGAGGCACAGGAGATGTAATGCCTGCTGCCATTGCTGCCCCTTCCTGGTCCAAACATCGAGATGTCAATGGGAATATACCACCCATCATGGAATACATCATGGGAATATACTAGCCCTACGCTAGAGAAAAGTGATGGGATATGAAAGGATGATATAATTATTTATATACTTTAATATACTTTATATACTGGCCACATTTGTGAATCATTGTCTATCAATAGATTGGCTGAAGGGGAGATCTGCTGGTTTTACCCTGGTTTTTGTCATCAAGAAATCTGGGGGTTGCTGCTGTTTTTTTTTTTTTTTACAAGGCATTTTTATGGGGATGTAATGGGAATATACCAACCATATCCAACCATCATTATGGACACATGATGGGATATACAATCGACAATCTGTTTTTCTTGGAACCCTTCGAGCTGCCAAAGTTCTCACAGGCACTGATCGCGGTGTTCCAACCTGGCCAACGAGGTGGCTGGCCATTTCCAGCAAACCATGCACTTTAAAGGATAAATATGGATATAGGATATAGGATGATATTTGTATACAGTATATAGACAGAATTGGATTGATATATGATATGCATACATAATTACACACACATAATATATATATAATAAAGTGTGTACATACATGTATGGGCGAATTTAAGTTTACTATGTTATTGATTTTTTATTGTGACAATGTGATCCAGAAAAACCATGGAAAACCGAGTCCGCCAGCCGCTACAGTAACATGCCGTCACCGACAAATCTGCGACTGATTGGAAGCTTAAATGACAGTGACAGCATTGGCTCTAGCCAAATCTCCCCACAATATTCATATAAATATTCATGGTTACATCATTACAATTCATTACATCTCCAGCTTGCTTTGTCTCTTTCTCTGCCTATGCAGTACCGTCAGCTGTGATATCTACCCGACAAGGATAGCTGAGCATCCACCATAGCATGTGATAGGGATACCAAACCGATCATCTGCATAACCCAACAGAAATATGGAAGGGCCATTATACGACCAAGCCACAGACCCGCGCAGAGCTCTTGTTGAACGCACTGTTGAGACTTAGTGGAGTGCCTAGTCGGTGGGCCAAAAGGTCAGAGTCCAAAATGGATTGTCCATGGCAACTATATACTCCAAACATATTAAATCAACTTCGTTTACCATCTCTGTTTCAAGACATTTGGAAACATTCCAGGGACAACCCCCTGACCTCCTAAAACATGAGTTTCTGATATTCCTATCATGTTCTTCTGCAATCAACAGTATCACATTTTTTTGCCAGGCGCATGGAAACGTCACATTTTTCGCACGGGCATGGAAATCTAAAACAAAGATAAACAATAAGTTTTTGATTATGCCTACAGATTTCGATAATTTAATGATGTTCATATCATGTTAATTAGCAATCCCCTGCCACAATAAAGTAAGTCAAATCCCAGGACTGATTAACAAACCCTTCAAAGAACGCCAACCTGTTTGGGAGGTATTTTTGTTGCGTCATTTCTTTTGTTTTTGTTTCCCCCGTCTTTCCCTCCTATTTGTTTGAATCAAGTGGGAAAAGGGGGTCGCCTATAAACAAGTGGCAACAAATAATAACCAACAGCATTCAAACAATTTGTTTGACCCACATAAAGCGATCCATTTTTAGGGGCCCTCCTAAAACATCCTTAAGAATCCACTGTAACAAATAGGACAATCCAAGTCCTGAAGTTTCATGTTCCTTCTTGCAGCTTGTTTCAAAACTGCTTCCCAACAAACTCACCAAGTGGGTAGCCTCAAAAAAATAGGAACCATCATAAACAGCACTGTTTGACCCCCAAATAGAGTGCTCCATTTTTTGGGGAGCTTCCTAAAAATCCAAAGAAAAAGTCAATTCTAATTCATGTTCAAACCAGTTTATATAAGTTCCATTTCAGTTTCAAGCGGAAGCGCTTGGAGCCAATTCACATTTAATGTGATTCAAAGTGAGTTCACATTTAATGTGATTCAAATTGAGATTCGAATCAATTTAAATGCAAATCAAAATTGAAGTCAACTTACACTCAATTCAAACTTAAAACAAACATCCATCTCCATTCCCAGAAAAAACAAATTATTACATTTCTCAGCTAAGAAGAAAAATCACCTGACTCCATGTCCGGGGTCCCAAGAAGTATCTTTGGCCTGAACTTTACTCAGCAAATGATTTTCTTCTCGAGGGTAATTAATACGATGTGAACATTACAATTCATTTCTATCCATTTGGGTCTGTTTGAAAATGGTGTATCGCAACAATTTTTGATGTTCTGCAGGGAAAATCAAATTTGCCCAGCCCGTCCCCTGCCTGCCAGCAATGCCAGCGCAGTTTGCCACTGCTCTGCGAAGCCACAAGCGCTAATGGCCGCTGAGAAGCCTCAGAACGAAACCGCGCATAACCGCGCGTGTAAGCGCCGCCATGGACGGCACCACGAAACCAACCATAGGCATTTCACAGGCATTGTGCGGCATAACCTCATTAATTTGAAATTGCAGTATCTGGTAGAATCCATTAGGGTTCCATCTTTAATAATCTACGAAAATCATCTAGTCTCTATTTCAAGGCGTAAAGAACTAATGGATGATGAGGATGATCATGTCCTGATATCCTCATTTGCTTTGTCGCTCCAGCTGCCTGAGCTACAGTTTGATGCCAATTTGCGCTACTTATCCAGCCAGAGTGAAATAGAGGTCATATCCCAACTTACAGTCGTTATTTTTTTTCACGACATGTTAAAATCACATGGTTAAACCATGTTAGTTCTACCCATATGGGTATGGATCAATACCTATTATAATACCATTTTTAGGGGGATGAACATCCATTTACAAGCTATTTTGATGTTCACCAGGGGTACAAGGTTTTGACACACTGCCATATAAACAAACCCAACTGCACCCGAAAGTTATTACGGCGTTTCATCATGTCTACTGTACTACTGTACCCTCTGGTAATCAAATGTGGCTGGAAAATCGTCATGGGAGATGTGCAACCAGATTTTCCAGCCACGTTTGAAACCGGAGGGTATATAGCAGCATTTCAATGTGTTTTTATATCATGTTATAGCATTTTGATATAACTAATAAAAATGGTATTTTGATAATTTTGATATATATCAAAGAGGGTATATAGCATTTTTAGATTTTGATGGAGTTTATATAATCACTTGCCCCCCGGCACATCCAGGTGCTAACGATGTCAGCCCCCTCCGTTTCCGCCAGCAGCGCCAAGGCCGTCTCCCAGCGCCCCGCCTGCCGTGTGAAAAAGATACCATCTGGTTATTTAACATAGCCATGGAAAATCCCTTATAAATGGAGGTTTCAATGGGAAAATCATCTATAAATGGACCATTTTCCATGGCTATGTTAAATAACCAGAGGGTAATGTTTTCTCCCCATAAATTTTGGTATTCTGAATCTACTTGGGGGTTCACAAATGTTGAGTCATCTTGTTCTGATTCCTAAAACACGAGGGGCTTGCTCTTGGCTTGCATGAATGGAATGATCCAAGCCAGAGTTTGAGAGGCAGTCCATGAAAAAACTGTCACACGGACATG